ATGGGGTGACTGGGAGGGACATTGGGGTCCCCAGGACCTTGTGGGGTCTCCTGGGGTTCTCAAAGCCACAGAGGGGCATGACGGGTGTTCCTGGCTCCCCCAAACCCATTGGGGAAGAGAGGGGACATCAGGGTCCCTAAGGCCGTAGAGGGGCCCTCAGGGTCCCCACAGCCTTGGGGGATCTCTTGGAGATGCCTAGAAACTATAGGGGGGTAGAAGGAGGCCATTGGGTCTCCCAAACCCAGTGGATGATAGAGAGGGGACATTGGGGTTCCCAAGGCTGGGGGACGTYAAGGGGGGACATTGATGGCCCCAAGGCCTGGGGGAGTCCCTCGAGGATGYCCATGCCCACAGTGGGCGTCGAAGGGGAGCACTGGGTTCCGCAAACCCATTGGGGGACACAGAGGGGACTTTGGGGTGCTCAAGGCCAGGTGGGGTTAAGAGATTGGGACATGGGGGCCTCCAAGGCCTCGTTGGGGGGAATCTCTTGAAGATGCCCAAACCAGTTGAGGAGCATGGGGGGGTCATGGGATCCCCCAAACCCTTTGGGGGATGGAGGAGACCTTGGGATCCCAAAGGCTTTGGGAGAATCCCTTGGGGATGCCCAAACACACGGTGGGTGGAAGAGGGGCATCGGGGTCCCCAAGATTTTGGGGTTCTCCAAACCCACCATGGGGCATATTGGGGTGCCCATAAGGGAATAGCTGGCACCTTTGGGGCTCCAGGGCCTCCCTGGGGCTGGTTTCTGGGTCTTCCCCAAACCCATAGAGGGGATATGAGAGGCCCCTGGGGCCCAAGTCCTTTGGGGGGGTCTCTTAGGAGCCCCCAAACAACTAGGTGGGCAGAGGGCAAGCACTGGGATCCCAAAACCCATAAAGAAGTGCAGGGAATTGTTGGGGTCCCCAAATCCATGGAGGGACCTAAGGGGGGCACTGACATCCCCAAACACATAGAGAGGCACGTGAGGAGCATTGGAGTCCCCAGAGCCTCGGTTGGGCCTCTTGGGGTTCCCAAACCCATTGGGGAACGTAGCGGGAGCATCAGGGTCCCAAGACCTTGATGGGGTCTCTTGGGGTTCCCAAACCCATCGGGGAG